ATGGTTGGGCGGCCCGAGGCATGGCGTTTGAGCTCGGTGATGCCAAGCTCGTTGAGGATAAGGCCCTCGTTGTTGAGCACCCAATCCTCTCCACCATAGTGAGACACATCGTCGCCTTGGAAGGGGAGGCCGGCGATGCGCCCAAGCTGCTCCACGGTGAGCTCGATCGGCGTGCTCTTGACGAGCGAGTAGAGCACGTTGTCCTCACGCCGGAGGTTGGAGTAGAAGGCCCGGATCAGCGCCGGGTTGATCTCCTTGCGTGCCCGGGAGACGAACGGCCAAAGGCCTGCTTGATGAAGCTGCGCGTCGAGGTCGTCGTAGCCCTCCAACTCTTGGTAACGCTCCGGGATGATGCGTGGGGGAGCCACAACCCGTTTAGAGAAGAAGGTGAGGAAACGGGTGCGCTCCTCCTCGGAGTCAAACCAAAGGTATGACCCGTCGCCATAGTAGAGGCGCTCCTCGGAGGATGACGTAGGCGCCCGGGATTTGGACTTTGATTTCCCGGAGGTGGCGGCCCTGCTCTTGTCCTTGCCCATGATGAAGAAGGAAACAAAATTGTAAGTGGAGTGAGATATGCAAGAGTATGGAAAGAATTTGTGTTTGTGTGTGTAAAAATGAGGAGTGGAGGCTCCAATTTATAGAAAAGGAGGCCTCCAACGTCCAAAATTTCAAAAAATATGACTGTTGGAGCAATAAATGAAGGTGCAACGGATACTTTTTTTTGAAAATCTTGACCAGAACAGCGATGTTCCATAGGCGACATCGCTGTTGGAACAGCGCTGTTGTGCCTAGTACAGCGCTGTTCTGCGTCAAGTTTAAAAAAAACAAGAGTCAAAAGGACAACGATGTTGAGTACCCTACAGCGATGTTCCAAAAGTTTCTGGAATTGTGTAAGGGTTTGAACCCATTAGGACAGCGCTGTTGGGTTTCTCTACATCGCTGTTTTGCGATAGAGGAAAAAATTTGTAAAAGTGAACATCGATGTTGAGGGTAAGACATCGCTGTTTAAAAAGTTTCTGGTTTTGGTTGAAAACAAAAGGTTTTGGGAAGACAGCGATGTTGAAAAGGGAACATCGATGTTCAAAAGGTTTCTGGAAAGTGAAGATGTAAGGGACTCCCTGGGACAGCGCTGTTGGCTTGATGGACAGCGCTGTTGGAGAACTTTCTGGTTGACGGTGTTTCTCTCAACAATGCTGTTGTGTCTCCTGGACAGCGCTGTTTGTATGGTTCCCCCTGATTTCATGAACGGGGTACCTGCAAAAAAGAAAAAGCTCTCCGACGCTCAAGTTAGTAAATGTTTAAAAAATTTAGATGCACAACTTAGATCATCGTGGAGTCAAGGATTCCGAGTTCACTTCGAATGCGGAAGAACGACTCTTTCTCTAAAGGTTTTGTGAAAATGTCGGCTAATTGGTTGTGTGTTTCAACAAACTCAATTTCGACATCACCTTTGAGAACATGATCTCTAATGAAATGATGCCTAATGTCAATGTGTTTCGTCCTTGAGTGAAGAACGGGGTNAGGTTAGGACGGGTCTGAAAGTCTTCTCGATTTGATTTGAAAATAATAATAAAATAAACTACTGGATGCTTTTGAGAAAAAGAAAATAAATAGTACGGGTATAGGACTAGACTTCGGGCCAAGGCATCATCTGAGTTAACTACTGTTGTCACATATTTAATCAATAATTGGAATAATAATATTTCTGTCACAAATATTTCATTAACTTATCCTCTCTCAAGGCAACATTAATGTGTTCTAAAAAGTTTAGCTTAATTAATTTTATATCCTCATAGACAAGGCAAAAACTAATTTCCAATTATTAATTAATTTTTCTCTCGACATAATTAATTAATTTAACAATAAAAATAATTCTAGAACAATTATTCCAACTATTAAATAAACATACAGAGTATATGCCCAAATTTAGCCAGGACCCTAATTCGGGTCCTAACCCATACTAAATATTAACATTGCATAACAAAAGAAAATATTTTATTAAAATTGTAAGTATTAAAACTTACAACAGAGAGCAGAGTTGGAGCCACTTTGGGACAACCGGAACAAAACTAAACTAAAATATTAAAATAAAACTGAGAAAAGAGCGGAGAATGGAGTTCCGGGCCTTAAAGACCCGGAAGAAGGCTTGATGAGAATGAAGGGGCGAAGCTCTCCTTTTATAGGAGAAAATTTCGGTCCAGGCCTCTGACAGGCGTGGGCCTGAGGTGAGAGGCGCACGCTTGGAGTTAGTGCTGATGATTGATGATGTGCGGCGGATTTGCACAATGAGGCAAATCAATTTCTTTCTTGCGTGAAGTTCTTCTCACCTTCTTTATATTTTTTTTAACTTTGTTGATTTGATGATGATGATTTGGAGTTGACACATGAAATTGGACGCAACTCCCTTGCTGTTGCTGCCACAGTAGGCCGGCCAGCCAGGTTGCGCCATGTGGCAGCACCTGGTTGGCCGGATTTTGATCCGGTCCGAAAAGATTTTTCTAAAAATATAGTCTTGCTCAAAATTTTATTCTAAACAACTTTTCCTTCTGCGCCGACTTCAAATTCCGAACCAATTTGGGTCAAACGAATTAATTTTGAATTGAATCAACATTTTTTACTTTTTCTTTTCAAACAATATCCTTTTTTCAATTCGTTTGACCTCAAATCTTTTGACGGGATGCATTTCCATATTTGAATGTACATTTTTCACCTCAAGGATTTTCGCCATCTTTTGCTCCTTTGCTCTTTTCCATTTGCACAATCTTTTACACTTTTTACCACTTTTGACTCAATTTTTATTCTTTTTACAACAAGACATAACTTTTGTTCACTTTTACAATTATGAATAAAAAGTTATAAAAACCATTGAGAAATTGATTTGTTTAATCCAAAATTGGACAACACGTTAAATGTAGAGAAGATAAGTGCGTACACAACGGACTTATCAGATTCCGAGTTCACTTCAAATGCGGAAGAACGACTCTTTCTCTAAAGGTTTTGTGAAAATGTCGGCTAATTGGTTGTGTGTTTCAACAAACTCAATTTCGACATCACCTTTGAGAACATGATCTCTAATGAAATGATGCCTAATGTCAATGTGTTTCGTCCTTGAGTGAAGAACGGGGTTCTTCGTCAAGCTTATGGCGCTAGTATTATCACAAC